ATGACAGGCAAAAACATTCTCGTTACCTTTTAATCACTTACTGCAAGCCTGCATACCTCAAAATGTAAGGCGGCCCGTAATACATTATGAAAACCTTGTGCGGGCCGTAAAACTTTATGAAAAACTAGTGCGGGCTGCAATACTTAATGAAAAACTTGTGCTGGCCGAAAGATAATAATAGGACAGGGGAGAAAGCTATTAAAAAATAATAATAATAAAGAATACTACGTTACTTCACGAGCCGCCAAGTCGGTGCTGGTGGGCCAAATTTGCGGGCCATATGTTGTGCAGGCCTGCGTTAATGGTATACTCTTATTGTAATGTATCCAATTGTATTTCTAAAAAAGACTTCTACTTACCTTTTATAAATATTAGCACTGATATAAAATTTAAATGCAGTATATTTAATATAAAATACAATGAACTTGTTATTTCTTTCTATTTTGCCTCTATCAGTAATAATATTTCCAATTTTTCTTTTCAGGATTTTTTAAACTTCAAATAAAATTATCAAAAATAAAAAGTCTTTATGCTATTGTTATGTAGTACACTTTTCCCCATGCTTGAACTTGACCCCGCATTAGATTCCTAGCAGACGGTAGCATTTGTTGTGGGCGTGGTTAATCTCTTTGATGTATTGTGTTTACTACCGATTACCAATTAAACATGGTTAGTATGTCTCCTTGTATCTTGTCGAACATTCACGATTTGTTCTAGAAACATAAACAATATCTGAGTAGTTTCTGGAAGGCAGTGCTTACGCTGCATATGTAAAGGGTTGACAGGGACAGAGATACACGGAGATTGATAGAGAGACGGAGATTGATATTAATATTTTTAACTTCACCAGACTAGTATTATTCTTTGTGTGCTCATATGTGTTTATTCGCATTGATCATTATTAATTGGCACATTGTACTAATTGTGTACCGGTACCAGATTTTCTCATACGCTGTAAGTTGATGATTTGTAATTATATTTTGTTTGTTTTATTATTTTATTAATACTAAATTAAATTTTATTAATTGTGATTGGCACTGTTTTCGGTGTTGTATTTTTTTAATTGTATTTTTATATGGTATCGTCCTTTGTTGTGCACTGTTTGAACGAGCCATAACTTAAAACAAGAGATTAATTTCTCACAATAGAAGCCAGTGCGTAGCACTATGTAAAAGGTTTTTTTGTTTATTGTGTTGTATATTGTATTGAGAACTTCTCCTGAAAATCTGGTAGCAATATCTTTTAAAAATAAAAAGTTGTGGCAAAATAATGCAGACATTTTGAAAGTTGGTCACAAGTTTTTGCAGTTAAATACAAAGATAAATAAGGGGGTTAAAAATTAATTTTAAAAAACAACATAACTCCACTTCTATTAAAGCTAGAAAGATGAAATTTAGGTTTTGCTAAAGCACAGTGCAAGCCCTATACAATGATGTATCACTTATGGCAAAAGAAAATATTAAAATTTCTTTCAAAGTACCTAAGATCAATGTTAGTAGCAAATTTGGGTAAAAGTACATTACATGGAGAGCTTTGAGTTTAAGCATTTACCCAACACCTTGTCATTTATCGTTATTGGGAAGGGAGCGTTTGTGGTGCTTTTTATTTATTTGAAGAGCTCTATGCTCCAATTGATGTGCTCCGCACTCTGGTTCAACCGAAATCTGTACGAAAAATAAATAGGAGTCATTTGCTTGACGCAAGTACAGGATTTTATGATTGTTCTTTAGTAATATCTTCAGTAATTCTTGGATTATTGTGGCAGAAAGTGTGTTATTTCTTTGAAAATACTGATGATTATATAATAATTCTTTTGCCAAATTTTGTGATGTGTGATTAAATATAGGATATTTCAATACCAAAAGTAAGTGAATATTTTTTTTACATCAGAATCATAATCTTCATTAAAGTATGATTATATAGCATAAAATTTCATTATATATATTTTATTTTAATAGGCCCTAAAAATAATACATTAGGTTGGGGCCTACTAGGTTTATAGGCCATATAAATGTATATATATGTACATACTTTATACATATAATATACCAGTATATAAAACTAATATAAATATCTTAGTTGTAATAAAAGCTATTTATCCCAAATCATTTATAACAGTATTATTACAATTATAATAATAATAATGGCAACAAACCCCTAAGTTAAAACCAATGATATTTCATAAGCCAATAAGAATTTTGTATGTTGTAAAAATTTTTTGTATTTATTTAAAATGATTTATTATTATTAATAGTTATATTTACTATTTATTCTATATAAACCATTTAATTAATTATTAACCACCCCATGGCTGCTATCGATAATTGGTCGTAAGCAGAAAAGCACATTGGCTATGATGACAAATTGCATAGCCTAAAAAAATTACCTCTTAGATTTTTTTTTTGTCGCCTACCTATGGTGTACACTCAGGAATTTTGGATATGTTATAAATGAACCTATAAATTAAATGAGCGGCTTTTTTTATAATGGAGCGCATTTTAAAAAAATTTTATTGATCAGTGAAGTTTACCTATTTTTAACTTCAATTTTCAAAGCTTTAATCTCAAAAAAAAAAAAATCAAATGAGTTCTCAACAGAACAAGCAAAATGTCAATGTCAGCTTTAAGTTTAAGTAATTGGCAGGTGTAGACGTTAATATTATACTAAAAATCGATCTAAAAGGCAAACCAACAATACCCTCTGTAAATTAAAAAGTGGAGGTCGCCATTTTGAAAACAAAATTACGATACCCGTGTTTCAGGAGTTTCTGTGCGATAATGAAATGCCTAATACATGACTTCAAGGGAATCACATAATTAGTGACAATGTGAGATGAGGATGTCACACTTTGTGATTTTGGAGGAAGGGGGCAAACATTGGCCGAAATTGTGTGATGTCATAAATGGATGGTTCCTTTGTATAGAAACAAAGGCCAACAGATATTAAATGTAGCTGAATCAGAACCATCTCAATCTGTCTCAGCATCTGATCATTTTAATTTTTTTTCTTTATAATAATTTGAATAAAGTCATGAATATTGGTTGAAAATTATTTAATTTAGGAGACTAAAAGAATACAGAATAATCTATGATTAACATCAGTTATGTAAAATTGGCTTAACCAATATTTAGGCCAAAACTAAAACTAAAGCTAGGCTATTTAACTTGCAATTGAAATTGATTAAACTAAAACTAAAACTAAAATAAAATAAAGGGCAATAATTTTCAACCTAACCTCCGCTTTTAATTCTTCATCTGAATAAAATAGCATTTAACCATCTTCTGAGTTTCACTAATCGAGTATCAAAAAACTTTCGTTGAAGTAAATACTACTTGTCTTTATTTAAATTTACCTTCATTTATAGACTGTACAAGCAAATAAACAGACCGTATGTTTGCAATGTTTACTCTCGTCACCGGTCAGCTGTCAGCTCTTCATTCTTTACACCAAAAAAATATGGCTGATATGCTTCCATTGGTCAAAAATAGGATTTTGCCCTAATCAATTGCTTAAAATTTTGCTTCAAAGAAATTAAGTAGAAGCGCATTCGAAATTTTCTTTTCAAATTCTAAATAATACATTGTCGAAGATATAAAATATATTATTTATTTTTATTTGAAAAAAAATTCCGTCCCTTCCAACTTTGTAAGTATAAGATGTTTCAGATATGTATACGACATCCTTTCGTTGCTTTCTTTTCTTTCTCGTAAATTAAATATTTAATTTTTTAAAAATTCACAAAAAATTTTCTTTAAAAATATGGCTTTAAGAATTTTTAAAACATAGAATGGTAGTAGTGATGGGCCATAAATAAAATTGAGACGACGTCTCACAATCTTCTGTTGTTTTTATTGAAGTATCTCTGATGTTAATAAATAGTGGAACAAGATATGTTTAGGCCTAGGCTTGAAAAAAAAGATAAAACATTTATGAATTTCGATATTACGATATACCTATTCACTCTTTTATGCACGCTAATAGAATTAGACTAAACAAGATACATGGTTTAGGGATGTAGAATTTTTAGATATAGAATTCAAGAAGAATGTACGGAATGGCCGCCATTTCTGCTAGCAAATCTACACTCTAAACAAAATGATTTAAAATGGCTACCTCCTTAGCAAAGTCAATTCTGAATAACTACACAGCGTATGGTAAGTGCATATATTAAAGGACTTGATAATTTATATAAATATGTCAACAAAATAATTATATATTTCTAACTCATTCACAACTAATTTGAAAGTGGAAATCGCTTTGCTGTGGAATCAATTTTGGTATGGTTAGCCGGCCGACTGTTTTGTTCAATATTCAATTGTCAATTGTTGTCACTCCAACCAATTAATAATATATTATTAATATATTAATATAATTATAATCATAATGCCAATGTCTAAGGCCAAGACTCGCTTTAAGATTTTGACTAGTTAAGAGCCAACACAAAAGTAGCAAACTTGAAGAAGGGCCAAGGTAAACACTTCTTTGAAAATTTGGTAATCTCCCCTGGAGTCTACCAGTCTACCACTTCAGCATCATCAGTTATGAAAAAATCTTGTTGTTCTGGTTTGAAGTCCTATTTAAAATAAATGGTTATTCTTCTAATATTATTGTCAGTTAATTATCTACAAACACTCTGTTGTTGTTCAACAAAATTTTACCAATCGAAAGGATACTGGTATCTACACAGACTGTTGAAAATATGTAAATGCACACAAAGTCACAGTGACAAAGTGCAAACTGAAAAGACAGTTTGGCACAAGCCGTGATATATATTGCACGAGTTCATGTCCCGCAATCATTTTCGAGGAGATGATATAAACTTTTCAGATATTAAAATTTTTCTGTTTTAAAAATGTTATCTTTTATGTATGTGCTGAAATGAATATGTACTATTTCATAAAAAAACATTTCCATTTATTTCGATCTATAAAATAATTTTTAGCTATAAATAAAACAATATCCGTTTAAATAGCACTTACAACCAGAACAACATGATTCTTTTATAATGATGCTGAAGTGGTAGATTACAGAAAATTTCAAATAATTTTAAAAAAAAATAAAATACTACAGTTGTATAGTGCAAACTTTAAAAAAAAATGAAACCAGAATCAACTTTTGAGTATTTTTTGAGCTATGAAATATTAAAGGGTAATTCCTTATTTTAGAGCGATAAATTCCATAATGAGCTTTTTTAATAAAAAATAAATTTATTTTATTGTTAAAAGTATTTTTTAAGCAAAATACCGTCTTTTTGTTCGGATACGACAACCATTTAACAAATTGTATGAGATAAAAAAAAGTACATTTCATGAATCTTTTAATTTTGTCATTCACGGCGCCAGTATGCTAAATCAAGGAGATCTCTTCTTTCTTCAAATATACTCTATAAAAGTTACCCAATTGGATGTATCTAGATGTAAATAAATGTTGTATTTATTTTATAACATTGTTTAATTTTGTCTAGGTCTCCGATATTTCTTTCTAAACCATTATATATATATATTTTGAACTTTCAACTTTTGCACATGACTAGTTAATTAAAACTTTCCTTGACCAATGATTCAATAGTGTTTGCACACAGCAATCTCTTATGAATGAAACTATGAGAATTATATGGCATCCTTCTGTCTTCGCGAGTCGATGGAGTAGCTATGTAGTCCTACACTTCGACTAGGCCAATCCTAGAATGACAATCTCGACTGCATTTCTCCCAGGAGAATATTGATTCCTGGTAAGATCTTGACTTCCGTATTGTTCTTTTTGTTGCAAGGGCCTCGTTTCGCATATCTTCTGCTCTCATTTGTTGTTTTCAATATTGGCTTCCCTCATGCTCCTTTTGCAAACGTCCATAAATCTCAGGCGTGGCCATCCAATAAGTCTTGTCCCTTCTGTCAACTCTCCATACAGCAGCATCTTCGAGATATGGCCTTCCTCCATTCTCCTTATGTGACCTAACAAGCAAATGCGCCTCTTGCTAAGAAAGGAGAATATGCAAAACATTTGTTAGGCACCTTGTCCTGCCATCGAATGCGTAAAATGCGACGCAGACATCTTTGGTGGAAGCTGTTGAGTTTCCGTTCCTGACTGGTATATGTGGTCTACATTTCGCTACCATTTAGGAGCGTACTATGAGAATAATACTAGAGTAATATAGTACATACCACGGACTGTGAATGGTTGCCCATGACAATGTTTTGCACACAGCAAATAATGATAATATAATTTGACTTTACTGGGTTTTAAACCTCAAATTAAATTATTCAAAGTTTATTCAAAAACATGCTATCAAATATTTTGAATTAAATAGTGGTAAAAATTGAATATTTTCTAAGTATGTGCTACTTCTGACATTAAAAAGGAGTGCATGGTCACCTCCTTATCCTGATGTGGTTAACCTGGATGGGCATAAGTAATGGCCGAAATTTCCAAACTTAATAAGATTTGGCACAAATATACATCAACATATAGTGCTGATTTTATATGAAAGACGTATAGTTTGAAATTCAAAAATTTTTTATTGAAAAATGCATTATATATACCGATACCTAAGAATTTCCAAAAAGATGGTTGATTGAAAATGCAAAAAATTAGGATGGAAATGTAGGCCAAAATGTGGATGGATACCACAATTTTATGATAAAATAGTCCTTTCATTAATGAAACGAACCAACTTCCAAAAATGATTAACTCAGATTCTTCTGCGCTGACACCCATTCCCCATAAAATTTTGAACTAGTTTTACCCAAGTGCCTAAGCCAAGGTCTGGTAATCCTATATTTTAGAATAATTGTAAATTAAAGGTGTATTACCAGTGATCATATTTAGCATATTTAATTATTTACATGTTATTTCCCCTTTCATTGATATCTTTTTACGCAATGGTAGATAAGGTATGATGATCAAAAGGCAATCATATTCTCTGGACATCGGTATCGCCTATGTCAGTGGTCCCCAAATAGCGGTCCGTGGACCTTCACCTGTCCGCATGCCTAACGCTGCCGGTCCCCATAACATAAATATTTATTGTCAAATAGAAATTAAAGTATAAAAATAAATCATGCACCGGTCCCTGGTAAAATTTAAAAACTTGTTCACCGGTCCGCCAAACTTAAAAGTTTGGGAACCACTGGCCTATGTACACCCAAAACAACCAGGCAGTTCCGGCTCATCCCAGCAAGAACACAGAACAGGAACTGCTCATTCCTGCCAAAGACAATCAGGGACTTGAACAAGCTTCCAAAAGGATCAGTTGAGGCCAAAACATTTGACACATTTGGATCTATTGCCTCTGGCCCCAGTTCATGATACCCTTGCTGAGTAGCCCTTGCAACCAGTGAAATATCCTCTTCAATACCAGGCACAGAAACTTTGCAAATCCCCTCTAAATACATAGGAGCCGGAATGATCAATATTTTGATCGTAGGCCCTTAATATAAAGAAGAAGAAGAGGAAATTGTGTTGTCAAAATTTACAGAGGGTATCATTGTTTCACCTCTTATAGTCGATTATTGGCATAATAATAAATTCTACATCTGCCCATTACTTAATGCTGACACCTTGCTTGTTCAATTGAGAATTTATTTGAATTTATTTTTTGTCAGGTTTAAGTTTGAAAATGGGGTTAAAAATAGGTCATAGTTAATTATCAATAACTTAAATAAAAAATTCAATTGTAAAAAAAAAAAGGTTTTTTAATTTTATTATGTCATTTATAACATGTCCAAATTCCTGAGAGTAGACTAGGTAAACGGGTCAAAAACAAAAAATAAAAGTGATGATGACAATTTACATACTCTTTTATTTCATGACAATTTACATTGACGACCATGCTTGTTTGCATATTACCTATTATGGATAGCCGCCGTTGAGTAGTTCATAATTCGTTTACTTCCTTATCCGAAAAATAAATGGGAAATATAATTAACCTAATCATTTTAAAGAAATACAATTTTTGTAATAAAATAAATAATTATTATTGGCTTATCAATAAATATCAGTAGCTTTAATTTTGGGGTTGGTTGCAATGGATGGGATTGATAACCATTTTACTTAGATAGGCCTATTTAAAGTATAATTTTACTATTATAAAATAGTAATGAGGGAGTCCCGAAAGGCGGATAACGTTGGTACAATGAAACATTCCGACAACTCCTGTGACGTCACTGGTGCCAAGCTGTATCATCCAATGATGTTCCCTTGGGTTATCCAGCGGCGTGGAGAGAGGCAATTTGCTGTTGGGAACCAGATTATAATCCTTGAAGAATAATCCCAGGCCATGTTGATTTCGTCCTCCAAAGCCCACTCCATCGTCACATTGTGACGGACGGATGCCAGCAAAAAAAAAATTTTAAAAATAGTAATGTGAGAGATCTATACAATAATATTTAGCTAATATGTATTAACTGTTGTAGTTTATAAAAAACAACTTTCGTTTGGTATTGAAATGATTAAGTAAATACAAAATCAAAGTCCCCACAATTAAATATTTCACAAAATATTAAGCAATGAGGCTTCTAATACTGATTATTAATAAGTTTAACACAATTATTTCCAACGGTATCCTAAAATTGTTGTTTATTTTTGTTTTTAAATGTGAATTTTTAGAAATGTAGGCGAAAAAGAGATGGATAATGGTGTGTATAAATGTGTTGTTTTATTTGGTCTAGAATTGTAGTTGTGTGGTAGTTCATATAATAATTATAAAAATTGAAACACTTATCAATTCGTTGATTAATTTTTAAAAAATATTTTCAACCAGCAGGTTTAAGGACAGTTCTGGGAAGAACCAAGATATGTCAACCAGCCTTGCTTACCTTGACAGCCCTTCCTGCTGCTATTCAGATCAGATACAAAAGCCGAAAACAGCGTGTAAGACAACCAAAATCAGAAGTCGAAAAACCCAAGCAATTCACTTCCAAGAAGCAGCTAAAAAAGTGTGTAAAATAAAGATACAGATGTAGAGAAAACAATAGCATACCTCTCAGTGTCAACCGCCTAATATAAAATGCAGTACGCTACACCAAATAAATCTTTATAATAATAAAAATCTATCTAAACAAAAAAAGAGAAGTATAGGGTCGTGAGAGTCAGGAATTGGACATGGAAAACTGGTTTAGTACATCTTAGCTTTTGTCATTGTTTCATGAAGTTATAGAGCATGCGCCACAGATAACTTTAGATTTTTTAAATTTCTTTTAAATAACAATTTCATTTAACATTCATATGCCTTTTTTAGGGCTCATTTTCTGTAGCTAATTTGGATAACATTAAATTATAATTTAGTTCCATGTTGGGATCAGTTTCTAAACTTTGCAGGAAAAAGGATTCTAGAATTAGTAGATACATTGATGATCTTTTTTTATGATACTTCTAATGACATTAACAGGGTGTTGTCAGCTGATGTCCAAGATAAGGATTCTATCATTGCTGCAGCTCCAGTAGATAATGTTTGGGTCCATAAGTTTTACCCTAAGCCAAAATTTTCAATTGAAGAAGCAATAAAGAGACACAATGCATTGGCTCAGCCTGCTATGCTTAACAACTTGAAAGGCATTGTTTTCCTGGACATGAGGCTCGACTGCTCAACAGCGAAAAAGGTATAGTTTTTACAAGTCATGCATGGCTGTCTAATCAATGTGAAATTTAATCTTAAATTTAAATTAAAAGAGCTCTAAGATATTTTCATTACATTTTTAAGAACTCAGTTGTCTTTGATTTTTCATAAATGTATATAATGATTTAACATAAATGTAAGTTTTACTAAAACTTTACGCATCATTATTGCCCTTTTTATTGTTAACCTTAATTTCTAGAAACAGTTTATCTCACACACTCATATTAGTTCAAAAAGATAAGGAAAATGCATTGTTGTAATAATGTTCATTAAATTCTATTTAATCACCTTTTATTAAGTTTAAGAAATAAGAAACTTCACAGATCGGCACACAAATAGGCCACATAAGATTTTTATAGATAAATTCCAAGGAGGTTTTGTTTTACTCTCAGACAAAGTTTATGGGGACAATACGATCAACAGTCAGGTTGCCACATGAGTTCCCATATGGATCGCCACCAGCTATTTTAGTATTTTGTAAGGTAGGTGGAATTGTCTAATAATATCCATGAAAAATTGGGTTTATTTATTTAAATTAAAAATAAATAAATAAAGTGTTCATACATTATTTTTGTGTATGTATTTAAATCATTTTGTATCACGCAATGACTTAATAAAGGGGAGAGAGTGCATTTCAAAATAATCCAGATTTGGTGGAGGGGATGGGGGAGAATAAATATCAAGTTCAAAGTAGTGTCTGTATTATGGCCCCTTTTCCATGGTTGTAACTAGGAACTTATTAATACAGTACCAATTTTATTTTTGTGAGCACATTTATTATCTTTTTAAAATCTGGTAAAAAAAACATAATACATAAATTGTGTGCTAAGCATAAAAATCGGAAAGTGCAAAAACCATTTAAAAAGTACAGATAAATTATTTCTCTTGGAAGTATGTCGGAAACTAATTTTGGGGATTGGATCAAATGTATGGGAATTAAAATGTTGCTAACGACAGGCTTTTTATGCCTTTATAATAATCAATTTATCATCCTCTAACCTGACTGATTATGAAAAATAAATTACCTTCTATTTATTACTAATTCTAAAAGCACTAAAAGCGAATAACCAGGGGTCAGTTAATAAATATGAGCCAATGTAGCAAGTCCAATAAATCAGCAATTTTTCAATGTTCTTATTGTTGCAACCATAGTTGTGTATAGTTTTCAACCCCTGTTATAATAGTGGCACTATGATAATGTATATAATGAAAATGAGAGGAGTATTTTAAAAATTTTAGTGACTATTTGATAAGGCTGCGGCTATTCGGACCCGGGCCCGAGAAGTGAGAGTTTGGGTTTATTAAAAAATATTTAAAAATAATTGTAGGGTTTGTAAGACAAAATTTGGTATCAAATGAAAGATGATTGAATGGACTATATGTTTGTAAATTTACTTCTTAAGTTTAACTAAAATAAAATACCACAAATGACATCCGAATAGCATTTAGTCAAAGTGGAACCGGGAACGCATCGCCGCTATTCGGACCTGGGTTCCTTTAGACTCAATGCTATTCGGATGTCATTTGTGGTAGTTTATTTTAGTTAAACTGAAGAATTAAGTTTACAAACATATAGTCCATTCAATTATCTTTCATTTGATACCAAATTTTGTCTTACAACCTAACAATAATATTTGTTTTTTAAATAAAAATCCCAACCTCTAACTTTTCGGACCCGGGTCCGAATAGCCCCTTCGATTTGATAATTAGTTTTGTTTTCAAAAAGTAACCTCTTCCTTAACGTTTGTTTTCAGAATTGCTGAATTCCTATAATTTCATATTAAAATAATTTGAAAGTTGTTGTTTTTTCCATATTGTTGGCTTTAAAATAAAATTATTCCTCAGCGCAAAAGAGAATTTGATTGAACACATAAACTTTCACTAAAAGAACTGTAATATGAAGATAATTAAAACAAAATTAAAGAGACATTTTTTTTAAAGTACCGGTATGCTTTTTTTATGTTTTGCTTCGAGAATAAGAAGTTAAAATTTTCAAGAAACAGGAAAGTTAAGTCATTCAACGTTACGAATATCATGAAAGGATTTTATACCAACAATGTAGTAAATGCATGATCTTCTTTTATTCTCTTCATTTGAAATGTCCAGAAAGAAGAAAATATCTCATTAGCCGAAACACTTGGTGCAAAACATGTGGGGACACCTGAGAATATAACTAAAATGGTAGGTAAAAACAATAATTAAAAGAGTATTATAGTTTTAATAAGCTTAATTCCCACTATCAAATTGTTTAAAATTCAACTGACCAGTTTCCCCTTGAATCAAGGTGTATAGGAATTAATTGACCAGTTTCCCACCTATCAATTAGTATAGACTTCAAATGACCATAACCTGGATCAAGTAGTAGAGGATTCAATTGACCAGTTTGCCCCTGGCTCAAGTTGTATGGATTCAATTGATGAGTTTCCTCCTGGATAAAGTTGTATGGATTCAATTGACCAGTTTCCCCAGTTTCTTTGCAAAATATATTAGTTGAAAAAAAAACGAATTAAAACGCCACAAAGAAAACAGCTATTATACAAAAACCACAAGTAAATTTATGTATAATGATATAAATGTGAAACAACCAACTAGTGTAACGGCAAACCTTTGAGTCATTAAAAATTTATAAGTATTGTTAGCGAGTTTAGACATTATACTCTTTACATTTAATTTTTGAGGTCATATGTCTTGGCCAATGTGCGTGTCCAAAAAATGAGAACTGTTAAGATTTGACAGGATTCAACAGAATGACAATAGCACTTGGTAGTGAAGTCCATTTTCCGCTCAGAATAAAGTTAGCGACTTGAAAGTGTTTGTTAACTCCTGTTATGTTACAAAAGTGTATCTTACACATCTAAAACACATTCTTTGGAAACTGGGAAATTTTATAATTAAATACATTTTTGTTCTCAGATCAATAATGGGCTCATTAACCCAAAGGACTTTAATCATGTGTTGTGCACACCTGACTGTGCCAGTGATATACTGTCCCTGCGTTCTCACTTCAGGGATATATTCCCACAGAAGGCCAAAGGTAAATATTGCTACTAATAGTAATAGATCTTACAAATTATATAATTATGTATCATTAAAGTACCATTTGCTTGTCATTCCCTTCACTGATTTGCTTGAGAATTTTGCTTTTTTTTTAAATTTTTTTTAAAAAAAAATTCTGGCAGTTGTATCCTTTATTTGTCCATAGATCATCAATAGTTAATCTCATGCCAAGTTGGCTGTTTATGAAACTAAGGCTTTACCTCCTCTCCAAGAATAGCTGCTACTGGGCTCACAAGCACCGAGCTTATTTATAATCCCAGGGTGGCTTTGAACCCACTATTTCTTAGTTGAGAGGGTACTTTTTGGTTAACACTGCTTCGGATGGCCCATATTACTGTATGTTTTGAAAACAAATAAATGGAAATACCAGCTGTATTTTTTCGTTGTTCTCATACAGTTTTTTCATGAATGTTCAGCTGAAAATTTTTTTTATATTTACCGAGCTTATTTATAATCCCAGGGTGGCTTTGAACCCACTATTTCTTAGTTGAGAGGGTACTTTTTGGTTAACACTGCTTCGGATGGCCCATATTACTGTATGTTTTGAAAACAAATAAATTGAAATACCAGCTGTATTTTTTCGTTGTTCTCATACAGTTTTTTCATGAATGTTCAGCTGAAAAATTTTTCAATTTAAATATCCTCTACATTTGAAATATTGCATTCTCAAAATATTATGTGTATTCGTTATGAATAATTTGTTTTGATAAAAATGTATCCTTAAAGCAAAACATGATTGAAAGTATCCCTAGCCCAGCAGTAGGGTTGCACTGATTACCATACTGGCCAATTAACAATTATTTGGCCTTGCATAATCAGCCACCGATTAGTTATTTTGAATGTAGTTTTGAAATACATATTATAGGTGCCTAATTATAAATTTTTTTGTTCGTTTAGTATTCTATTTTATAATTAATATAATTAAAAAATATATACAACATAACATTAAAAAAAAAACTTTTCAGTTGATCAGGTGGGTTCATTGCTTAAAATTTGATCTAAACTCTCGCCATCCCAAACCTACCCCCAAAAATAATGAATGCATTTTAAAAAAAAAAATAACAATCACTGCACTATCACTGACTATTGTAAGTCACTGCAGCAATTTATAAGCACATGCTAATAATGTCTAAGAAATATTGTGAACAATCTAATTCTGTTGTAAAAAGTGGCATATCATGCTAGTGCAGTTTAGTTCTCAAAACTTAAAAAAAAAGCATTGTGTTATTTGGTCTTCACCAGGTCATTGTGTATACCTGTGGTTCTCAAAGGTGTAATAGCCCAGGGTGGCGCTGTAAGGCTTGGAAGATTTCAGGGTGGGGTGTTGGGAATTTATTAGGGTAGACGAAGTAATTAATTCTGTTATTGTTTACATCCAATGAATGTAAACATCATGGTTTTTTTCATACAGCAAATAGAAAAGACCTTTGATATAACTTACAAATGTTTAAGCCAAAGCAGTTATACTTTGCTAAGTTATGAGCCCTAGAACACTGTCTAGTTCTAAATTGATGGAGCATGATTAACGAGTAGCTGCAACATTTGGTTGTTGCTTATTGCCAGATGTGTGATTTACATTCATTCATATCCAACATCTGGTTGCTAAAAAAAACTCAGGGATCGTTATTAACGCAGTGACTTATTTTTAAGCACACTGTTTATGATTGGCCATTTCTGACACTTTGTGTTGAGAACTATGCAGATTTTGCTGCTTCATAACTGACTCTGATTTACGCAAATGTTTCTTTTGGGGTTGACTCCAAAGCCATCACAAATGATGTTGCTTACATTTCAGAAAAATTTGCTAAATTTAATTTTAAAAATGTAGAGTTGCTGGTAAACAAGGTTAATCATTTTATAACCAAATCTCTTCCCTTTACTTTAAATAAAAATTGACTCTATTCAGGTGCAATTTTTGTCGTCTTGATTTATAGTAATGTCCTCACCCACTGGAGCTAGAACAGAAGTGTGAGATGCAAGATGCTCATTTGGTAGTACTTGTGATCATCTGGATATGCTCTATAATGATAGTCTGAACTATTTTAGTTGAGTTTTTGCCACATCATGAAATGTTTAATTGTAATTTGCGTGGTAGTTTGTTAAGAAGCTCCTTGTTGGATTCTCATCATATTTGGTGCAAGGGTTGTTGTTTTCTTTTGCATCCATCCATCTTAGCTCAATTACAGGAATACTTTAATACTTAGTTAACAATCTTCCATAGAGGTTTATGCAAACTTTTATTCTGAGAATGACAGGGTGCACTGATGGTCCACAGGGGTAGTGGACGCAAAAATGTTTGAGAACCACTGGTCTATATGCTGACAACGACTACACAGAAACAAATGCAAAAAAACAATCCTCTGATGTATGATAACTTGCTTAGAGTCATACATATTTGATAAAATCCCATAAAAACATCCAATAATTTACTAAAACTATCTATATTTAAAACTAACATCTTAAGTAGGGAGATTAGGCAGATTACCAATTATTTGCCCCTCAATCAGTGCAACTCTACCTGATCAGCCCTGATCACCTATGCCCACCTGATAATCTTGAGATTGGCATGTTTTACCATCTGATCATTTTTACAAACCTCAGGTACTGTAAACCAAGACTTGCAATCAATGTGGGATCTGTTTTTCTATGGCTACACATTTGAGTCCCAGAAGCTGACAGATGCTGTTGGAAGGTTGCAAGTTCCCCTTGGAGTGGTAAGAAGTTAGGATAGATTCAAATTTTTGTAAAGCCCTGTTAAGCAGTCTGTGTAACAGTGCTCAAACCATTATATTAATTATATTTAAAGTAATAAATTAAATGTTCTGTTAAATGATAAGAGCCATATATTTTTGATAAAATGTTAACCTAAATTTAATAATTCACACATCATTTTTCCTCCATATATAATCACAGATGGACCAACCCACTGAAGAATTGGTCGAGAATTTCCATGTGTACATTGACAACATTTGCAAACATAGAAGTGTTGCTTTAGGTACATTTTTTAAAAAACATGACTATTATTACTAAAATCAACAATGTTTATGTGTCCATTTTTAAGTAACTGTGTCTGTCTAAAATAGTTTTTTGCTTATTATCTATTTATTTTTGCTCCATATTACCCACAGGTCCATTTATAACATCAATCGCTGTTGTGGTGCCTCCTTCTACAGAAGAGTTTCTCCTAAAAGTTGAAGATTATGTCCCAGGATATAAAAACGATGAAGTTGATTCAGATGAGGAGGATGTAGCAGAAGCTCAAACTTGATTTAATTTTTGCAATGTTCGTGTGTGGTGAAATGGCGCTGATTGCAAAATGTAATTTGTGGTTCACTTGATTGTAGGAATTATTAAAATAGATATACAGAAATAATTACTGACTTGTCTACAAAGAAATAAAATACATTAAGAAAAATTGAATGAGTTTGGTTTATTCAGGTAGAGAACATTTTGATGAAATGATAAGCTTAAATAATTATACAAATTCATTGTCCCAATGTAAAGACTTTAAAAAAAAAAAATATCCCACATTTAGGATGGACAGTCTTTCACCAAATACACTTGACTAAAGTTCTCAGCGTACTTCACACTATAAAAATCTATAAAAATTCATGTTAACAAAATAATTGCATAAAAGTATTGCCAGGGTAGGTGATCTATCAGTCACCAGTTTTAGATGCCCAACAAGTTTTCAACATTTGAAAGACAAATCCTTTTGTCCATTGCCCCAGCATATTGGGAGTTAACTCCTTAAATTTTTTCTATCTAAATATAAAAGAACCAGGAGTATGATCTACAGATAGCATGATAAATATACAGATTAAAATTATATGAGATTCATATAAAACTTCATTTTTATCCAACATCAGTCTTAAACACAGATTCAGAACACTTGACTCATAATTTCTTTTAATAACTGCACCAATTTATTCACCTAATCTGTACTAGTGATTGATATGTGAACACTATAGTTTGTAAAGAAAATTTTGGAGCAGCAAAGAGGTGTCAAAGTGCCATCAATTTATTGAAGGCTTAGTGATAAGGATCTATGCAGTTACACAATTGTCCAATACATGAAATATTAAGCTAAAGTTCAAACTGAAACTTTACATTGACTTACAAAAGTGTATGAGGTAAAGAAAGAAATATCAAACCCAATCAGGTTGGAGGTAACTTGACAGAAATTGGAAAAAAACAACATTAAGTGATTAAAAAATGTATGACTTGAAAATAAACGAGAAGCTCTAAACTAAGATGTTAGGCATAAATATTTGCAATGCATGGAGAATTATGTAGTCAATATCGACAGACTTCCAAAAACATTGTGGAGTAAATTTTGGACCTATATAATCTACCATTTCATGAATGCAATTAAACAAGTTACAGTTGTTTCTTTACGTGAATGTTAGCCCGGCCTCCTGGTACACATCAAATATCTTTTCTATGCTGCACATGTATGCTGCAGTGCGAATATCAAGGCCCAGATTATATTCCATGGCTGTCCTCATGATTTGCTGTAAGGATTACAAACAAACAAAAATGTTTTTTTATGAAAGCAAGAGGGTTTTATTAATACTGTGGGTATTACAGCATTGTATTAATGAGAATTTTGTGAAACGGAAAAGTCAAAATAGATGCTGAATGGTCAGACAATTTATTGATTAAAATGTTAATTTATTGTGATTCCATTACACAAGTTCATTACCATGATAGAAATTATAAACATCCAGTTTTAACTTTGCAATTAAACAGTTTTAAAATTAAGAAAATTTTCTCATAATTTTCAAACATTTAAAACCAGCCATTCAGTGTCATCTAACCAGTCCTTCTAGTGCACAGAATTCTTCCTTGTGATAAAATTTAAATTGAGGATGCTCAAAATCCTTATGTTCTTACCCTGCCAGATTTTTCCATTGTTTGTTCCAAACCAGAATGAACTATGTCTTTCTCTGAAGCACCCTGAAATGTCAAATGTATATTTTGTTAATTAAGTAATTTTGGCTAAATATTCAAGATTTTATATATAAATGCATGTGGCGTTTTCATGCTAATTGTTACACAAATACAAGCAAGCTGTTCACCTTGAACTGTCAAAAAGAAAGGGTAACCCTGATTGAAATGAAGCAAGTAAATTGTATGGTTATGCTTATTTACTTTTTAAATAGTCTGGAATTGTTTTTTAACATAAAAAAAAACATTACAGCAATCTACTTACAGCAATCCTCTTCTCAAATTCTTCGCTTGGAACAATGGGGATCTTACCACTGCCATTCCTGCCAAATTTTCGTTCCAGGGATTTTTGAACCGATTCTGAATAACAAGAACATAAGCAATATATTAGTATTAGAATAAAATACATTAATTGTCATCCACAATGGAAAAGAAAAAGTGTGTATGCCAACTATTAGCAAGGAGAGTCTGCATGAAGAATCCAATGACAATGAGATCCGACTCAGACTTTGGCTCAGGAAAAGGGATGACAGAGGCACCAAGTTTCCACACAAAAAAGTTACTTGGAACTCACCAGATGGAATCACTCACAACCAAATTGACCATGTTCTGATCGATCGTAGGCATGGCTCAGACATCTTAGTCATAAGAAGCTATCAATAAGCAGATGCAAACTCTGACCAAACTTGTAAGGGTTAAATATAAGCAGACCTGTTTACACTCAAACTCTTAAAATCGTACAATATCATCACAAAATTGTTCAATACATTATCTTAATAGTAAAAAAAATAAACATACAGTATATATAAATTTGTACGCCAAAATCGTAAGAGTAAACAGGTCTGTATAAGCATAATTCACAATTGCCTAAATCGGTGGGGGTGGGTGGGGCGCCGCAACAGACTCACCTAACAAATGGTAGTTTGAGTCCCTTTCATATTTGAAGGTCAGGCGTCCATAGCTGACATGGTTGAGATTCTTCAGCCACTCAAAGTAAGAGACAGTGACACCACCAGCATTGATATAGAGATCCTACAACACATGATAAACAAGGCATTGGTCACTTGCTCTGTTTTAAAAAGTTACTATGGGCCTAAAATTATTGCATTGAACTAGATTGAGAGACATACAGTTAACATTTGATCATTGGGAAATTCTATCAAGTACAACTCAATTTGACTTGGAATAAAATTTATTCTGGTGGCAAGATCTTTAAAAAAAAAATAAAAATAAACTGCTACTAGTTCCACCAACAAATTGATGTACTTGAAAAATGTTGCCTGTAATATGCAAAGCTTTTTTAACTCACAGGAATAATGAGAACATTCTTCTTCAACAATATCTGGTCAGCAGCCATGGTAGTAGGCCCATTGGCACCCTCAGCAATAATCTAAATTAGAAAAACATACAATATTGGTCACTAATATACAGCTATAAATGTCAATGCTAAAAAATTTACTAATTTTAATGTCACTGCTAAAAATTGACATTGGTTATAAATGAAACTGCTAAAAAAAAAAGAACATTGCAATAAATGCTGCTAATAAAAATTTCAAAGCTATAAATAGAACAGAACTGCTAAAATTTACATAGCTATAAATGTGACTGCTAAAAATGCACATTGCTAAAATATTAAGGATTAATTACCCTGGCCTGAATGTTGTCTGCATTTTCCTTTGTGATCTGTTGCTCACTGGCAGCTGGCACCAGGATATCACACTTCTCAAACAACAAGTTGCCCTCATAAGGCTTGGCATTGGGAAATCCAACAATTGTGCCATGTTCCTAACAAATAAAACATGAACAGATTTATAGTATTCAAATTAAGATTTGAGAGTAATTGAAATCTTAGTTGTGAATTGAGATTTGTGTATGTAATTGTGTGTTTAAGTCATGGCTAGTTTCTTTGTAGTATGTTCAATTTTTAAAAAAATCAAAAGCTAACTATAGTCTAGTAAATGACAGGGAAAATGATATATATTTTGTTATAGTTATAATATAATGACTTAATCTTTAGGACAAGAATAAACAAATGTTATGAAAATATGCAACTTAAGCAGATTCTTTATCAGGGCAACAGCCTTCCTAATAGTAGCGGCCTCAACCTCTAGTTACAGCCTAGACATTTGGTTTGAATGACTCATGTCTAGTGTACATTTATTTTCTATGCTTAAATTATATATCTTATGCCCATTTTTATAAAGAATAGGTAAGACCACACCAATTTTCTCTTTTTAAAGCTGAGATACTTTTACATGCACAATGCTCAGTTACCTAAATGAGTGTGTTCATGACACACCTATACTGTAATTAGCTTACAATTTTATAGTCCTCCAACTCTCTTGCACTGATGCCTTCTGGATTGTAGATGCTTCCATCATACTCAAGAACACCAATACATTTGGCCCCAGCCCTGGTCAGGTACCTCATGGAGTGGAGACCCACATTACCAAAGCCCTGCGTGGAACAAGAGTTTCAGCTCATAACAGACTGGTAAAATCTTTAGCAGAGAATTAATTACTAATTTTCCATACTCTTTCATTTTATGGAGTGAGCAATGGAAACACACATTAGATAAATAAATTAATATAAACAATTAAAAGATAACATGTATTTTTATGAATTATTTAAAAACTAGCTAGAGTTAATTATAATATCCAAAATTGATAAACGTTAGTTCACTTTCACACTTTACTGTCACCACAGTGGTGACTATCTCCATTAACTAATGATATACTTGTATTAATTTCCCATTCAGATTCACCATCATCCTCAGTATCATTAATATTTCATTCTTCACGATTTTAAAAAGGTTCTACATCAGTCTGTGTGATAGTTTCAACATCTAAGGGTGACAATAATCTTGATAAGAGCTGAGAAAGTTATGCTAACTTTCAACTTTTGAAACATAGCAATGAAAGGAAATCTAAATCATTTAGATTTCTCATAAAGAAGAGCGATTTGTTCTTCAGGAGATAAGCTTACAATTTTTTTAAGAGTCTTGTGTAAGGTAGTTGGGTTGCTAGGTGTTATGTGACATGTGGAGAAGGAGGGTGGGTGTGAGAAAATTGGCAGATGCTTTACTATATGTTTTCCAGGAATGGATTATGCCAATCAATATTCTAGTAATCAAATTTAATCTGCAAGATTTTAAGACTTGTTATATATATATATATAT